GCTTGTGATCAAACATTTTTCCAAACTTGTGTTCACACATATTATGTATAAACATCAACAACCATTGCCTGCTATATAATAAACATGTCAAATGATATGCCAAATTCTTGGGCTATGTAAAGGCTATAATTAAATATTAGAAATTAATTAATTTGACTAGAGGTAGGCAGTTATGCTGCCATCTCATATGAAATTTAATAATTATAAATAATTAATTATTAATTTAGACATTTCTAAAATTTAATTTGGAATTGGTCATTAAATTTAATACGAGATGGCAACATAACTGCCTACCTCTAGTCAAATTAATTAATTTCTACTATTTAATTATAGCCTTTACATAGCCCAAGAATTTGGCATATCATTTGACATGTTTATTATATAGCAGGCAATGGTTGTTGATGTTTATACATAATATGTGTGAACACAAGTTTGGAAAAATGTTTGATCACAAGCAACTCTAAGATGCTAGTGGAACGAGTGCTAAACACAGACTGATGAAGCATATGCACAATCTGGGACGCCCACTCTCCTTGTCATTCATTATGCAAAACATCACTTGTTAAGCAAGTCAATTTTTACAATTTGTTTTGCTTGTTATGCTAGGTGTTCATTAAGCAAGGTTACGCTGTATGTTAATTTATGAGTGCAAATTTAAATATTTTTCAAAGTAATTATTATTTTAAGTTTCTAATTATATAATAATTTTGAAAATTTAGAATGTATTATATTATATTTATAAAACATTCTTCACTCCATAAACCCAACATTTTACTTAATTATAGAGATGTAATTTTAATAATTTAATATTGAAATCTGGAAGTGACACTTAATATAATAATTATTTTCTGTCAAGTTAAAAAAATAAAAATTCTCTAGCTTTTCAGTTTGATTTTAACAAGTTATTCAAATTACATATTAAAAAAAAAACAAACATTCTAAAAATAAGCTATTAATATGAACTGTCCACAAAGACTATAAATCATATCTGAAATGTTTATAATATTTAGGAAAACATTTCAAATATCAATCTTCTGTAAATCAAAGCATTTTTATTTTATTTCTATATTTTGATGAATAAATAATTATATTTTATACCCAAAAGTTCATTACTTTTTTTTTTAATTTTAAGAGTTAATGCTTAACATAATAACTATTTTAATATTGTTATAACATTCTTCCAGCAGGAACCATAATTGTTTCTATTGACACCCTTTAACCACTACTATATGGCTGGAGGAATTAATATCCTTAGGTTTTTCCTTGGCTTTGGAATAAGCTTTGGGTCATGCTGTAGTAAACACTGTACTGCCTCCAGAACACCACCAGAATAAAATAACATTATTTTCAAAAAATTTTGATATTGGAAGAGATTCACTCCTATTTATATATTTTAAGCATTTACAATTCAGAATTTGTAGCCTTGAATATCAAAGCATCTATAATTCATCTTTGAGTATTTCTCATTATATTTGTTTTGATTAATCTTTTCTTAAGATCAACATATAAGAACACAAAACATATTTGTGTTCTTATATGACACATGTGTTGTTCTATTTAACATTAATTCTATTTAAATAAAATCTGTTGTATCTCATTTGTACATTTTTCTGTACTTTAACATCTTTAATTTAAGAATATCAACCTTTTCTTATGTAAAGAAAGAAAAATTATAATTTTGTATTATTATTTCATACTGTATTTATTTTAAATTTTATGAAATGTAGTCAATAGTAACATTAATAAATAAAAAATACAATATAACAAGAAAAGCCTATTTAATTTTTAATCATAATTACAAAAAATACGTTAAATAATTCTTACAAGAAAATCTAGGAACAATTACCACACTTTTCACCCTATAAGACATTTTTTTTTTGTACCTACAACTTATATGAAAATTAGGATGTATCCTATAAGCCAAATGCAGCTAACACTACAAAGAATATTTTCCCCAAAAGACAATTAAAACATGTGTCCAATAAAATGGTGCATCTTACAAGGCAAAAAATATGGATGTACTTGATCAGCTTTATTTCTGAAAGTTAATTATTTTTATAACATTTAAATTGTTGTTGAATATAAGAAAAATGTTAACTTATTAATTAAAGCCCACTATAGAAAATATAATTTTTACTTTTATTCAACCCTTAAGTTCATTAATTTAAGAATAATCTTTTTATCAAAAAAGTGTAAATTATATAAAGTGAGGTTTAGAAAGTAAATTAAATATCAATTATGATTAAAAACATTAACAGAAAACATATAAGCTTCATATAATTTGTGATAATATATTTATAGAAAAGAATTACTTACCTAATTAAGTCAAATGCTGTATCTACTTCATGAACTTCAACTGCTTTGAACACAAGTTTTTGTAAAGTTTGATGTTTTTCAAATCCTAATAATTCTCCCATTCTGAAACCATAATAAAAGTAAATATCTAAATATAAAACACTTTAATAACAACTTTCTAATAATCAAATTAAATAATAAAAAAAATATTAATTATCCAATGAAGTATGAATACTAAAAATTTTATAAACAAACAATATTCATTGCATGAATAATAAATTTAACTACAAATAATCTTTAAAATTTCTTAGAAGAATTCAACAATGTACTTCCTTATTCATCTCTATTATTAGATTAGCACTCTGAATTGAAATGTATTGACTAATTTTTGAATTTTCTTCCAGAAACTAGTAAAAACAATTTTTTAAAATATAATTTTTTTATTAAAATACATAAAACGAACTGATTTAGTAACAAAAGCAAAAACAATTCTTTAAATAAATAATTCAACTTATTTAATATCAGTAATCAGTGTATTGTTGGTGTTGTGTCTTATGAATTAATTTTTCAATTTCAAAACTATAATAGCATTAAACTAAGAATCACAACACTTGTTTTGTTCAATATAAGCAATAAAAATAATTATTCTGATCACTTTTTGTCCATTGTCTTATTTTGTATATTTTGTGCTAGCACACTTTTCCCAAAGATGGACTTATCATACCAGATTAAATATGGAACAGAATGGCCTTGAGAGATAATTTTCTTCTATGTATTTACTTTTTGACATGCATTTTGGACATAACAGGTCCCACTTCAGTCTTAATACGTAGATCTGTTTTTAGGATTTTTAGCATGCACACATATTATTAAATTTATAATAAAAACCTCTGCCTGTTTCATATAATACATCACATGCCAAAATCCACCAAATGAATACCTTTTAACCTGAACACAAACTTGAAAAAAATTTGTATTATTTGATATAAATTGTATCAAATAGTACAAATTTTTTAAAAATAAGCCAGGACAAATTTAAAAGAATTTATAAAATTTCTTTAGTACAGAAAGTACAATTTTCTTTTCAAGTTTATGCGACACAATTACAATACTTTCCCATGTTATATACATAACAACCACGAAAGTAGAACAGAAATTATACTCCTATAAATAATTCTTTAATCAAACAAGACACAGTTTGAATTTTTTTGAAAGAAATATTTTTGGACAGACTGTCTTCTTTGATTAAATTAAAATTATCATCTGGCGAAATTCTACAAATGTAATTCTTATACATTAATAAAAATAATGGTTGCATTATCAAACATAATAACTGTAGTATATAGTTGTTATATTTGCTATAGTATAATTCCATATTTAAATAATCCTAATTTAAAAATATAAAGTTAGATTAAAACAATTTTAAAAAAGATTATAACAAATAAATATATGCACTTTTTGAGAAAGATTTAATTATCAGTAATCATTTCAAGAAAACATTTTAAAATTCAATTTCTCCTTTCTGAGGCCAATCAGCAGGAGGTTGTTTGTCAGAAGATTCATAAGCTGCTTCTGATTTTAATGGTTATCAGTAATAATATTACTGTTTTTTGCTGTTTTAATGCTAATTTTTGCTATTGATGGTTTTACAGAAATTTTTATATTTAATTTAATCTCTTTACAATATCAAAACTTACTAGTCATTACTAAAAACTTACCTAAATATACTGCTAAAAGTGGCCTTTTGTTTCTCACCTTTACGATCATCTACAGAAAACTGAAAATTATAAAAAAATAATAAGAATTAAACAAAAATACAGATATTTATTCCCTTTTTATATAAAGAGTAAAAAAATGTTCTTTTATATAATTAGAATAGTTAAGGATACTTTTATATATATAGAAATAAGGCATAATTCAACATATAATCAAAGTAACTTTTTCATTATTAATAAAGGAAATATTACTAATATAATGAAATTAAAAATAAAAAAATAATGGAAGTTACATGAAAAGAATTGTTTTATATTTATTAGTCTTTATATTGTAAAATATAATTTGAAAGTCTAAATAAATCCTAGTGAATCATAATCAGAATATGAATATAGAGTTATATTATTATAAACAAACATTTCTGAAGTTTTTCTTCATAATTTTGTATTAAATTCCTAAGATTTCTAATTTTATCTTATAATATATTCTCTCAATAAGATTTTGTAAGTCTATCTTACTGATCTATTTTACAGCCTCATCTCTTTTGCTCAGGTCACAGCATGGTGATGGTTGTAAGTAAAACAAATGCATGAGAAAACATGTCAAATTTTATAAAATGGTAGTGCACAAGCAGCTTTGTTTCGTAAAGATTTAATGTATCTAAATAGTTTTAAAAATAGCATTGTTTGCAAGAATGCAACAGAAACATGCAAAGATGTCATGAAAGTATATAGTATTTCTTTTTCTTTTTTTTTTGCACAAAATTCATTAATAATATTTAGACCAGAAGTGAAAGCAGCCATGTGGTCATTGTGACAGCAAAATGTTGGCCACAGATTAGAATAGCAGATGGTCAACTCAATATTAGTAATTTTTTAATATAATGATGCATTATAATATGGCGGGACATTGTTGGGGCCTCCTAAGTTTGCACTATTATTTTGACCAACCCTTGGAAAAAATTTCCATGCACAAGAGATAATACATTAATTTCTTGGTGCTACAATGTTTCTAATAACTGAATTATTAATCAAAAAGGGAAATAATCAGTCACACATTCATTATTGTCTGATTATTACATAATTTCACAAATTGCATTTGATTATAGTTTTAAAAGTCAGAAATTCCACAGAATAATATCGCAAATGTTACTTTTCCACAAATGCACAATATTATTCATCATGCAATGTTTCTTATATTTTCAATGTGTGAAAATAAGTAATCAAATCACTTTAACAGTGAATCAGCACATCAGTTTTTATGGACCATGTATTCTAGTATGGATAACCTGTTCATCCCATCAGTGCAAGTAAATGGAACAGTCCTCAATATACCATGTTGCTTTGGTTTCAGCATTTCCGACTTTGTAAGCAATCATGGCAGGCAAGTGCATACCGCCATGTGCAATGTCAAAAACATTCAGTGACCAATTGTACATCTTATTAGTTATTGAAATATAAAACTGCATACTAACTTTTGACCACCTTTTTGTCAAAAAAAATTATAATTTTCTTATAACATGAAAAAATATTTGTATAAAGTTCTTATTTATTCTCTTGCCAAAAGTATTGTATTTTTAATTTTAGATTCAGATGACTTGAAAGTGTTAAGATAAATTGTTCTTGTACTTTCAAAGTAAAATCAATTTAATTTGAATTATTTCAATATTCATATTATCATCTACATACAATGATGATAATATATATTAAAATTAATTATGACTGATAAAACATCTTTTTTGATACTATTCTTCTGCTATTATCCCAAAATCTGAATATTCTATATTATTAAATCTAATCTTTACAATCAATAAAAATTGCCAAGACAAATAAATTTAGTTATAAAATTTAAGAAAAATTCTTAAAAATAGACAATACATAAAAGTGTCTTCTAGTTACTAAATTATATGTTATTAGTTATATAATTTAAGAATTTTTCTTAAATTTTGTAACTAATCTTTACAAATTTCCTTGAATTTAGTTCAACTTTGTAAATATCAGTAACTATCATTAATTAGTTTAATTAAAAAGTTTACATTTTCAAAATATGTTCTGTCAGAAAAGTATTTATCAATTTCTTGATAAAGACATTTACTGCAACATTCTTCAGATTTCAAGTTAAGAAATGAAACAGAAAGACCAAATTCCAGCTAAAAATAAAAAAAATATAATTATAATGTATATTATATTTAGTTTAAAAACTATTTCTAACATACATACAGTACATATATACACACCTGAATATAGTAAGAATTTTCAAACCAATGTAATTCTTCTTGGTAGTAATTATATTTATCTGGATTAATCCTTTGAAGATACTTTAAAGTGTACAAAGCTCCCAATTTCATATTTATTAAAAATGTTTTCCCTTCCTATTTAATATAAAATATATAATACAATCAAGTATATAATAAATTAATATACAGTACAGTATAAGACTTGATGAAGTAAGTAGTATGATTAAGTTATGCAAACAAAACAATTTTAACTTACTTCATCATTCCATAAATCTGTTGATTCAAGAATTACTTCTATAAAACAAATTAATCTGCATCCACATGTTATTGCCTTTTTTAATGGAATACTAGTTAAAAGATCTGAGAATTCATCATGCTGAAATAGTAAGTAATCATTTTATATATAGAAAAAATAAATTAATAAATTATTAAAATTCTAAATACTCTTTGTCTTTTTAATAAAAATTTTAAACGAAATAAATAAGCATCAATGTCACAGAGATGATCATATGATTTCACAACTTCAAGGGCATCATCCATTGCAGATGATCTATCCAAACTCAATATATAGTTCACTAATCTCTGAAACAATGAAAATATTTAATAATAAATGTTAATTTTCAATATAAATTTAATAATTATTATTATTCTATTTTTAATAAACTTAAATCCATAATGCTGACTGAAAGTCAACAGAATTTAAATACATATTAATATTTTAAATTTGCAAATCATTTATCTCTGACATCCAAACATTATATATACTTTAATTATGATAATCTTTTATTTCTTGATTAAATTTAAATTTTTTTTAAACTACTGAAATCCAATGCACAGTATCTCATAATTCTTTGCATTGTTAATTACTGAGACTTAATAAAACAGAAATGTTTATTATTAAATCATTTAAATATTAATTGTTGCCTTTTGTCAACCCTTTCAGTTTGATTTTTCTGTTCGAAACCACCACTCCCAATTGATTTCTTTGAACTCTTGACGTGGTTTGAGTGGTGGGAGTAATGGGTGAAAGTTTTCAGACATGTTGGTTGACTTTAAAATCATGATAAGTGGGAAAGCCATTTGTGTGAAGTGAAAAGAGGTCATTTAGTATATTTTTTTTATATACTACAATGGAATATAATATATTTGTGTAGTTGTATAGTTGTATTATATTTTTAATAGTACAGTAGAGTCTCGAAAACTTGGCACTCCGGATAACTCGGCCACACCCTGGCAGGGCAAAAAAATCCTTAGTTAATTAATTTTCATTATAGACAGCTTTATGCTCCATAAAGTATTTTTCTGAGGTCTGTCTTATCAGGTAAATTACTGTACACAGCGTATTCATTAATTTTCATTTCCATGTAGTAAAGGCTCTATGCCTTCATAATGGATGTACTTTTCCTTTGTTTAAGGGTATTTGGGCAGTTTATTCTCTGTTGTATTCTCAAGTAAACAATACATACAAGTACAGTACAGTATTTTCTGAGGAAACACTC